CCCCAAAACCCCAAAACCCCAAAACCCCACAAAAATGGCAAATATTGAAGACCATATTACTAACCTCGAATTTGACTTAAACGGATACAAAGAAAGACTAAGATCCCAGCTTTTTGAAATTGAAGATTCTAAAGGAAAGGATGATCAGGAATATAAGGCAATTGAGCAGCAGCAAAAATGGTGTGAGGTTTTTGAAAAAATTCCTGATTTCTCTCAACTCGATCTTACTCAAAAGAAGAATAAGCTAAAGATTGAATGGATACATTTTACCATAAAGGAAGCAGAGCTACATAAAATGCCTGAATCACACCCTAGATATTGAAAAATCCTTGAATTTTACTATGAATATGAGGATTGGGTCATGAAATACATGGAATATAGCCAACAGACATCCAAATTTGAGCCTGGATATCTCTCAAAACTTGTGGATGAAGCAAAGAAGCTTCCTATAGAAACATCAGAGAGCATAAAAACTCTCGAAGAAGACTCTGAAAAGTTCACAAGAAGGGAAAATGACTGCAAGAAGCTGATTGATGACTTCTATACTCTCTGTAAAGGCGAGCAGGAAATCACAGATTTAGAGACCTTTGAAGAGAAACTTCAGTCTCTTCTAGACGAATCAGTAAGCATTGAATACCAAAATGTCAATACTCAACTACAGAAGATAAAATGGTTGATCAAAATCTACAACTTGGTTAGGTCAGAGGAACAAGATAAGTTCCAGGTTTGGCAGGATGCCAAAGACTCTGATTATGCTTTTGAGGACAAAGAGATCCCTTTTCTCTGAGAATTCTATTCAGAGTACAAAAAAGCAGATATTGTCTACCAATTTGTAAAAGAAGTGACTAATTTTAATGCTACATCTGATTGTGAAAAGATCAAACTATCCACACTTAAAGCACATCTCTGAGATATAAGCACCCTACGAGTTACCATGGACGAGGAGAAACAAGCCCTAGAGGTTATACTCAAGGATTATGAGTACATTGACGTTGAATGAAGTAATATGAGGGCAGGAATGACCTACATGGATTTATGCAAGCTCGCACAAAAAATCTCCAAGTTCCCAATAGAACTCAGAAATAAGCCCCAAAAAGTTACTAAAAAGAAGCAAAAAGTGGAAGAAGTTCGCCAGAAAATCAGAGATGAGAAGAAAAGAACAGAAAAGATCCGTTTTAGAAGGGCTAAAGAACTGATAGATGAGTACCACCAAGCTTGTTGTGTGTTTATAGAGGGAGAAGAACTCAAAACTGAGTTCCAAAAGAGTAGCCAAATAGTCAAAGATCTGAAAGAAAAAATTAACACAACTCAGTGATACAAACAAGAGGAAATCAAAGAAATGCAAGATCAGCTCAAAAGTGTCGCTGTTCATATGGGAAGGGATGAAGATCTTGTGAGAAGAGATGTCTGGAGAATCAGAACTGGTTTTGTGTTAGATAAGATTAAACAGCACTCTTCTTTCGTCAAAGTAGCTCCCAAGCATAAACTAAAATGGAAAGCAATTGAGATCCTCTCTGATCCTCCTGATTTTCCACCGGTAACAGGAACAAAGGAATATAACCAAATAAGAAAAGTTTATGAAAAGATCAAAAGAGATGTAATTGAAGACAAAATTAAGTTATGTACCACCCTTGGAGAACTCCGGCAAGCAGAAGAAGATTTACAGCATGAAATAATCTGCTTCAGCCAACAACTACAAGATCAAAAAGAAATTATTAAGCACAAACTAGAAGAAACTTTTGGGGAATCCTTTGAATTAGGAAGATCAGCAGCCCTTGATATCCATGATGAAGTCGATCAAGAGAATAATAGACCCCCCAACTCACAAAAATCCGATATTTCTAAACTCTCTCCTCCAAGATCATTACAAAAAGAAGACCTCAACCTAGAAGACGCCCAAAATTACATGGAAGAAATTGACGATTTCCACTTTGAACAATTCTACTAAAACAACCCCAAAACCCCCCAAAATCCCTCTAAATCCCACTAAATTCCTCAAAACTCCCCAAAACCCCACCAAAATTTCCCTTAAACCCCAATTCAACCTTCAAAAAAATCCAAGGGGTTTTGGGGTTTTGGGGTTTTGGGG